TTTTATTTTGTTTTGTTTTGTTTTAAGTAATCTCTACCCAATAATGTGGGGCTCGAACTCAAAACCCAGGAATCAGGAGAGTCGCATACCCTACTGACTGAGCCAGCCAGGTGCCCCTTAACTGTGCATTTAAAAGAATGTGGGGGGTAGTGGCACCTGGGTGGCTCAGTCGGCTAAGTGCCTGCCTTTGACTCAGGTCATGATCCCGGGGTCCTGGGATCGAGCCCCGCATCAGCTCCCTGCTCAGTGGGGAATCTGCTCAAGGATTTTCTTTCTCAGATATCTCTCTCTCGTTCTCTCTTGTTCCCTCTGCCCCTCCCACCACTCATGCTTATTTGCTCTTTCAAAAAAAAAAAAAAAAGAATATGGGTTTTTTTTTTCTTTTTAAGATTTATTTATTTTATTTTATTCTTTACAAGATTTTATTTATTTGAGAAAGAAAGGGTACGAGCCAGGGGAATGGCAGCGGGAGAGGGAGAAGCAGGCTCCCCACTGAGCAGGGAGCCCAGTGCAAGGCTCGATCCCAGAACCTCATGACCTGAGCCAAAGGCAGGCGCTTAACCAACTGAGCCACCCAGGCATCCCTATTTATTTATTTTAGAGAGAGAGAGCACAAGCAGGAGGGGCAAAGAGAGGGAGAGAGAATCTCCAGCAGACTCTGCACTGAACACAGAGCCTGATGTGGGGTTTGTTCTCACGACAGAGCCGAAACCAAGAGTTGGATACTAAAGCAACTGTGCCACCCAGGCACCCCTAAAACAATGTTTTAATGTTCATTCTTTCCAGCATTATAGTTATTTTGTACCGGGAAGTGTTTGTGAAAGTCTGAACTGTCCTACTCCTGTAAAGTTTAGCTTATTCTTTAAAAAGGCATGAAATATGCAGTGTACTGACTGTAACGTGCTGAGTTAAGTAGACTCCTGCTAACTCTCCTGGGCTCTTGAATTCCCATTCATCTTAAACCAAAAAACCACATAGACAGTATCTACAAATGGAACCAGCAGTTTGATTTCAATTAATGTGATGAGCAAGAAAGCCTCTCATAGAAGGTAGTTGGAACCTATTTTGAACCATTAAGTTGTTTTTGGTACCTCATCTGGACATTTCATTTAAGGTATAGCTGGTTTCAGTCACAAAGTTGAGGAAATAATTGAAAGAGAAATGAGCATTTTCCCTCCTGCCTAAGACATCTTTCTCAAGAGTGGCCTTAAGTTCGAATGTCCTAGTTATTAAATTGTATCACTTGCCTCTTATTTGGAAGTTAAGTAAAATTTTCATTAAACACCTACTACTTAATAATATTGTTGTGATTTTAGGTATGTTGACCCAATATTGTCCCTTAAATTGGAAAAATATCATGATATATTCATACAATGGAATGCTTTGTATTTACTAAAAATATTTTAAATGAATAATTCAGAAATTTCTCATAATTGGCAAAAGCATAAAACAGTATATGGTATAATATCTTTCTGTTAAATGAAAATAAAAAATTTTTTAAAAGACTAGGAATATTTTAATCCAGTTAAAATGTCAAGGGAAAAAGAGAAGAGGGTATAAGTCAAGGACATATTTTTGTGAATACCTACATTTAAGCAGTGCTAGGAGGAAAAGAACCAGGAAAGAAGAGTGTACTAAACTACTTGAACTGAAGTCCAGTGTCTTGAAAACCAAGGTACAAGGAGAGTTTTAAGAAGTGGAGCATGGGTGGCCCCTAGTCTCTTAAGTTCAGAGAGATGAATGAAAATGGGGACCAAAAAGATGCATTTAGATTACAGCTTTCACCTTTTGGATTTCATACATGTTAATATGAGGTTTTTTGTCATGCCTCCATTCCCAAACCGTGTGTTGTATTTCTGGTTTCATTGACAAAGAGCTGCACCTGTTTCTTCATACTGTAAAGCTGAAGAAAGACAACTATCCAATCTCAGTCAAGTGCAGTATTTAATTCTTATGTGAATTGTGAATTGATTTAGAAACAGGATAGCAGGATTGTTCCAGAAATCCAACCAAGTACAGGGATTCCAGAAAGCCAATAAGGCTCTTGAGCAGGAAACTCTGTTGTTTATTACATTTTTTTTCCCTTTTCTCTTTTTAAATAAAGACAGTAGGTTATTCTAAAATTCCTTGACTGGCACAAGCAGCTGAGAATCTTCTTGACTTTGGGACCTGAGCAGAGCTAAATGGGGGAAAGAAGACCTCCAGCCTCCCTTCTTAAGGTCATCAGTTAGTTAACCTCCCTACCATCTGTGTTAGAGCTGTCTTTTGAGAGTGGAAGCAAAACAGAAAGACAGTAGAAAGATAGAGTTTTTATAACTAAAAGAAAATGAGTTATAAAATAAAAATGAAAAACACAGTCAAAGCCACCACAAAGGGCCAGACCAACTTCTTACTCAAAATTTGCAAATGACAAGACCTGACTCTCAAAGGAATAACTCCTAAAGCAATAAGCCTAAGAAACAAAGAGCTCCTCAGGGAAAGATGTCAGAATGTTTGTCCCCAACCCTGTCCTTGGAGAGAAAAAGCCTATCAGTGAAGCCCCAGCTTATGCTTCCTTCAGGGGTCAACACCATTGGCCACAGTCTACCACTTTTACCCAGTGACCTGCCTGGAAACAGTTCCCTCCTGTCTCTCTCCTTCTTTGCTACCTGTCTTCTCTGGTTGGGAGTATCCACAGTGCACTTGTGGCCTTTGTGGAGCCCTCCTAAGAGCAGTAGCTCTCAAACCCTAGCATTTCTGATTTCGGAGTCTGGGGTAGTGTACAGTAATCTGGATTTTTAACAAGTTTTCAGGTGCCATTGCTGCTGGTGGTGGTCAGGGAAGCACATTTTAAGAACTGCTGTCTTAGACCTGGAGTGGGAGGGCTGAAGGGGAGGTCAGCAAACTACATGCCACAGGCTGTAGCTAGCCCTGAGTAAAAAGTGGTTTTTGCATTTATAAAGGATTATAAAAACAAACAAATGGAGAGTGTGTGACAGAAACCGTATGTGGCCTGCAAAGCCTAAAATATTTACTATCTGGCCCTTTCCAGAAAAAGTCAGACCCCTGACCTAGATCATGCACCAGAGCCTTAGCTGCAAAGGTTGCCTGCTGGTCTAATACGAAGTGCTTTTACCCAAACTCCGAAACGAAGGAAATGCTAAATACTGATACTGATTTTCATTCGCTCGCAAACTTCTCCAACCTGTCTCTCTTTTATAAAGGCCCAACGTATATAGCCTCATGAACAAAGTGTTTTGCATGTGTTAAGAATTGTTGACATTATTTTATTTTTGGATCAGTAATACACATCATATATAGTTCAAAGATACAAAAGGGTATATAGTGAAAAGAAAGTCTCTCCAATACCCCTGCTCCCTACCCCCTCATCCCCTCATGCTGGAGGTACTATTACTATCTTATATATCCTTCCATAGATAGTCTACATACGCATTTACTTACATATACTTGTATAAATTGTGTATATAACTATATGTATAAAATACAAAGTTTTAAAACACAAATGGCATCATACTGTGTATTCGGCTACATACTGCTTTTTTTCATCCCACATTAGTTTTTGGAGATCATTTCATGGGTATATACTACCCTTTTTCACTTTTCTTAAAAGCCACGTATAATATTCCATTGTATGAATATACAGTAATTTTTAACCACTTCCCTGACTGAACTTTACGTTGATAAACTCCTAGAAGAATTACTGACTAAAGAGTGTGTGCATTTGTAATTTTGGGGAGATCATAATATATTGCTCTGCATATAGTTTGTACTTGCCCACATCCCCACCAGCAACGTGTAGGAATCAGCATGTGTTTCCCCACACCTATATTATACTCTGTGTCCCAGACAGTTTGATCATGGCCAATCTGATAAGTGAAAAAGTATGATTTAATTTGTATTTCTCTAGAACACTTGAGCATCGTTTCATATGTTTAAGAGTTGTTTGTAGTTCTTTTTCTGTGAACTGTGTTCTGTTACTTAATGGAATTTCTTTTAGTAACTGGTTTTAATTTTATTAATTGGGTATCTTTCCAATTGGTCTGTTATATGATTAATAAATATTTTCCTAGTTTGTCATTGTCTTTTTTTTTTTCTGCCATGCAGCAATTTAACTTAAAATTTTATGTAGTTAAGTCTGAATTTTTTTTCATGGCTTCTGTGTTTTTTGCCTTGGGTCCCCATTTGGGGCCCTTTTTTTTTTCCTTTTTTAAAGATTTATTTATTTATTTTAGAGGGAGAGAGAGCACAAGCTGGAGGATCAGAGGGAGAAAGAAGAAAGAATCTCCAGCAGACTCCATGCTGAGCGTGGAGTCGGATGCTGGGCTTGATCTCACAACCCTGAGATCAAGACCTGAGCCAGAACCAGGAGTTGGTCGCTTAACTCCTCCACTTGATCCCCCTCTCTCTCTCAAATAAATAAATCTTCAAAAAAAAAAATCATCTAAGGCATCTACTTCTCAAAGTTTTATGTGCATCTAAATTACCTTGGGATTTTGTTAAATATGTAGATTCTGAGGTTCAGTAGTTCTAACAAACTCCCAGATGCGAAGCTGCTGGCCTTTGAACCACATTTTAAGTGTCAGTACTAGTACCTGGACCAACCAACAGAATTTTTTATTTGATAGGTCTGTAGTAGTTTCAGAGATATCCTAGGTGATTCTCATGTACAGGTAAGATTGAGAACTGCTAGGTTAGGAGATCTGAATTTCAGTCATTATTATTTTGGCAGCCATTGTTTGAAGAGCCAGATAATTCACTGGTATGTAATAAGTGGATGGGGCATTCTTAGCATAAAAGTGATTGCTAAGAATAACAAATTGGTTGGGACTCAGATCCTTACACATTTTCCTGCCTCTTCCCCCCTCACTCTTTGCTTAAATGCTATAGAGGGATAGTAGAAAAAGTTACAGAAATAAAAGCACTATGATATTTGGTTATTTCCTCTTCAAAGCATTAAAGTGCCTGAAGTTCTTGAAAAGTTGCCATGTGTTTTTCTACAGGTGGAATGAGGTATCATCTGCTGTCTCCAGAGGATCGAGAGGAGTTGGTAGAAGGCACGAGGCCCAGAAGAAAGAAACATGACTATCGCATAGCCCTATTTGGAGGCTCCCAGCCACAGTCTTGTAGATATTTTAACCCAAAGGTAACTAATTTTTGTTTTTGCCTTTGAAAGCCTTGAGCACATATACACTCACCTGCCATTAGTAATAATAGCTCATGCCTTTAGAGAAGTTGCAGTTTATTTGTTCTTTCATGTATCTTTTGAGATACACAGTTCTCTTTGTTTAACAAATAAGGAAATTGAAGCTTAGTCAGATTTTAAATGTTTCCATAATTGCTCTGGAGCACTGCATAGTAATCACTATCAGAGAAAATGGAAAACTAGTTCTCCTATCTTATCTCATTTTGTTAGCAACTCCTTGCTTTCCTTATGTGTAATCTTCAGTGAAAATATTCTGGAGCTGTATGTGGGGTTTTTTTTTTAGTAGTTATGTTTTTTTGTTTTTTTTTTTTAAACATTTTTTTTTCAAAGATTTTATTTTATTTATTTGACAGAGAGAGACATAGCGAGAGAGGGAACACAGCGGGGGGAGTGGGAGAGGGAGAAGCAGGCTTCCCACGGAGCAGGGAGCCTGATGTGGGGCTTGATCCCAGGACCCTGGGATCATGACCTGAGCCAAAGGCAGACGCTTAACGACTGAGCCACCCAGGCGCCCCAGTAGTTATGTTTTAATGTAAAATAATACATAGTAATTCTAGAAAATTTGGAAAACCAAGAAAATAAGAAAGAAAAAAGATAAAGTTACCTTTAACTCAACCATCTAGAAATGATCGCCAATTTTAATGTGTTTTCTGGTATATGTTATGCCATTTGGGCCAGCAAAGCCTGAGTCTTAGGTCTAGAAACACAATTTTTCTTAATAGATTATTAGTTAAAACCTTGAGAAGAGAGTACACTCACATTTCTACCCCTTGTTTCTTAGACCTATGTGTTTTGGCTATGGAAGAGATAATATTGTATTTTGCTAGTTCTGTATGTATTTCTGTGTTATTTCTGCCAATACCACAGTCATAAAAGATATCACCTATAACTGGTATTGAATCTAAGCATATAATGGTCTATTTTATCATTTTGTTGGCCCATTTTTGGTTGATGATAGATACCTGATGAGTGAAGCATCCTCTTGACTTCAGGATACTTATCTGATACTCATTTCTTTGGAGCTGTTTTATGTAATACTGTAGAGGTGATGAACAAAGCATTTGTAAAAACGCATATAGTGATGTTGTCAAGAGTGCAAAACATAGTGAAGATCAATCCAAGTCTAGAATCAGTATCAATTCCAATGAGAGCAGGGCATTGTCCCTTTAACAGTGGAGGGGTCCCAGTGCAGTTAGCCTGGCATTAGGTAACTAACTGGTTCCCCAAGGTTTGGTAACAAATCAAGGGCTTAGGATTGGTCCATATTCCTGACAAAATGGGTGCTGTCCAGTAGTGGATAGCCGCTTGACCTTAGGGAGAGGAAGTACATTAGCTTCCAAAGCTGCTGGCTTATGCAGCTTCTATCACTGCCCCTGTGGTCACTCATAAACCCACTGAGCAAGCCTCAGATTGGAGAGGGAAGATAGAGATGCAGTCCTATCCATGTGATTAAAATTATTAAGAGACTTTGCTGAAGTTGTGGGTACTCTGGTAAGAATTCATATGGGATACAAATTTGTGTCCTTTCTAAAGGGTCATCTACATTATCCTTCCTCAAATCTTTTTGTCAATAATCTTACATTGTTACTTATTTCAGGTCTACATCCATCTAGGTAAACCATTAGCTACTGTCAAGAATTGATAAAAACTGACCTTAGCCTTTCCCTCCTGAAGGGCATAATGGAAAATAAAAGGAACTACTTAAGATTCTGCCAGATCAGAAGGTTTCTTCTGAATTGTCCTTCAGGTACCATTTCTGAAGGGACTATAATGCTTTAGCAGTCTACTGTTGGCTAGTACTGTCATAAATGAACCAAGCTCAGGTCTCTCAAATTTATCAGCTGATTTATACGGACCACCTCTATGGAGACAGAACCCTGGTTGACGGAGAAGGCCTCCTAGGAAAGGGTTGTAATTAGCTCATTTGGGTATTCTGTGCGTTTGAAACCTCTGTAAGCCCAGGGCTATGTTTAAATACCAAATTATTGGTCGAAGGCATGCTATTTGTGATTTGGTAGATTAGGTAAAACTGTTCAAAATGTGTTAATGGTATGGTTACCTGGTTTTCCTTGATGTCAGACATTTGCTGTCTGTCAAGACCTAGTGGCCAGCCAGGAGCTATTTCCTGAAAAAAATGATACCTGCTTAAAGAAGGTTGACCTAGCTCCAGAATCCCAGGATCATGCTCTGTGGTCATACTGGAACATGATCCAAACTATAAGCAGCATCCTTTTTTTTTTTTTTTTTTTAAAGATTTTTTATTTATTTATTTGACAGAGAGAGACACAGTGAGAGAGGGAACACAAGCAGGGGGAGTGGGAGAGGGAGAAGCAGGCTCCCCGCAGAGCAGGGAGCCTGATGCGGGACTCGATCCCAGGACCCCGGGATCATGACCTGAGCTGAAGGCAGTCGCTTAACCGACTGAGCCACCCAGGCGCCCTTTTTTTTTTTTTTTTAAGATTTTATTTATTTATTTGACAGAGAGACAGCAAGAGAGGGAACACAAGCAGGGGGAGTGGGAGAGGGAGAAGCAGGCTTCCCGCGGAGCAGGGAGCCCGATGCGGGGCTCGATCCCAGGACCCTGGGATCATGACCTGAGCTGAGGCAGATGCTTAACGACTGAGCCACCCAGGCGCCCCTATAAGCAGCATCCTGGTCAGTATCCTCATGCCCCAGGATCACAAAGTAATCTAAGCAGCCAAGCCATTTTACTGTAGCCTGTCCCATTTAGAAAGCTGTCTCCTGCTCTAGCTTTTACTTGCAACTGGCGGGGATTTTTGGTTTACCCAGTTAAAGTATTTAAATGGAACACTCAATCACAGGATATGCCATCTATAATATGTGGGAGATAGTTGGGGCAGCAAGGTGTATCCTTTGTTTCTAAGGAGCTGTACCAACCTACTGTAGGTCAGAACTTGACAAACTTTTTTTCTGTAAAAGACCAGAAAATAAATATTTTCCGTTTTTTTTTTCATACATGAACAAATGGGCATGGCTGTGTTCCAATAAAACATTATTTACAAAACAGCAGTGGGCTAGAGTTGGTGTGTAGGCCATAGTTTGCCAACCCCTGCTCTACACCTGTAGACAGCTAGGAACTTTGTAGTGACCACCACTGTATTCTAGGATCAACTTCTGTCAAGCACTTGTCTTACCATGTCCTGTTCCCCAGACCTGATCAGTATTATGGGCATCAATATACGAGACCGTGTGTGACTACCTTTGGTAAAGTGAGATAGACCAAGGCTCCTGCAGCTTAGATTACAGCATACAGAGAGTCAGGAGATCCTTGGGGTCAGACCATGAAATCATTTTGTTTTCCCTGCCAGCTGAAAAGAAATCCCATCTAATTGTCTGAGTAGACAGTAACAGAAATACACATTAGCCAAAGTGTTAGCTATATGCCGAGTTTTAGTAGTTGCTTCAGTCTGGTCCAGGAAGAAGACCACACCTGGCCCTGCCACAACTATTAGAGGCACTGGTCTTGGCAGGTCCTACAAAGCAGTAGTTCCTCCTCTATTTTGGTAGCGAAGGAGGTCTTACCAAAGAAGGCTCCTCCTGCTTACTGTAATACTTAACACCATGATTCATAGAACAGATATGCTGTCAGGTAGCAAAAAGACCTCTCCAAGTATGGAGGATCAGAATTGGATTGGTTAAACACCATCATATTTGGACTGTCCCTGTTGGGCTGCTCTCAGCTCATCCATCTGTGTCTGGCCCATTCCTCTGTCTCCAGAATATAAGCTGATCTTCTTACAAAGACATCTGGCTTCCTTTCTCAGTAAAGACTGGGTGTCCGGCAGGTACCACAAGGCTTCCTGGCCTATGCAGTACACTCCAATAAGCACAATGGCATTGTGCTTAAGAGACTGATACACCTACCCATCTGTTTCACACCAGGTAAGGTTAAGAGTCTTGACATACCAGTGCCTGTTTAATTTCAGTGCTTTTTGACTTTTCAGGATCCTTTTGATTCAAGAGCAGGAAATTTATAAATATGGTGTTTTTTTCCAAGCAAAAATTGAAATCATAGGACTTTATAATTCTATGAATTGCAGCTTTCGGGTGTTGATCATAATCCCCTCTTGTTTTCCAAAGCCTAACTATGGTATTGGTTTACGGTTAAAAGCAAAAAACCTAGCTACACTTACGAGGAGAGCATGACATACAAACTTGTCGAATGTTGTACACCTGAAACTAGTGTCACGTTGTGTGTCAACTATACTTCAGTTTTTTAAAAAGGCAATTAAGCTACATTTTGGTAGAAAATATTTTATATTAAAATAAAGGAGGTGGCTATTTTGATGTACAAAGGGATAGGAGAACCCTGATTTCATTTAGGAGACAGTAAGCATTGTTTGTAGTATATGGCAAACGTGGAATGACTCTTAGCACTCTATTTTGGTCTGTAGTCCTAACACTTTGCTTGATTCTTTTTTTTATTGGACAGTTGAAAAGAAACACGTATTCTCCACAAGCCTGGAAATGATGACTGTAACTTCAGAATTCTTATTTGCTCTTATCAGTGGCCCATACATACTTAACTGCTCTTTTGTATAGTCATCCACAAATTTTTAGACTTTCAATGGAAAAATTCAAATAATTGAGGAAATAACTACCAATAAAAATATCCTCATTCTATCAATTATCTCTTATGCCCTGAAGCTAACACCATTAGAATCCCACTTCAATGTTTATTAAATGTGTCTGTTAGAAGTACCAGGCCCTCCCTTCTTTTTACTATAAAACTTTATCTTGAGGAACTTTCACCCATTACTATTTTTTGTATATAATATTTTAATATAAGTTGATAAATCATTATTCTAATAAAATGAGAAGGCTGATTTCATTATTATTTATCTTGAATCTGCCTAAGTGAACATTATTTCATTATTCGATTCAAATAGATTGCTTAATGAAAAGTACTATACAGGAAT